TTTTTTCAGAAGATCAAGATTTGGAAGATTCAAGAGGAGCTCATCAAATCTAAAGATTAAAGCTTTAGTTTTGCTCCATTGAGGTATTTATGTAATTTAAATTATTTATTTTTCATATTTATAGGAATAATATTGTATATGAAATGTTTGGTTGTTGTTGTATAAAATTAAAATTTATTGATTATATACGAAAAACATAATATATATTAAATGTGAATAATATTGATTATATAAGAATAATATTGTATATGAAATGTTTGGTTGTTGTTGTTGTATTTAAATATGTTACTTTTATCAAAAACAGAATATATATTATAATTTTAGTATACATAATTGTAAAAAATAATTTTTAGAAAAAACAGATTTTTAAAAATAATAAATATATATTATATTTTAAGTGTGTTATTTTTAGTAAACAAATTATATATTATATTTTAGAATATTATATTTTAGAATATTATATTTTAGAATATGTATTATATTTTAGTAAACAAAATATATATTATATTAGAAAAAAATAGAATTTTTAAAAATATTTTTAGTAAACAAAATTGTAAATAGAAAAAATTAAAAAGTATTTTTTAAAAAACATAAAGTTATGTAGATTAGAAAACAGAATTGTAAATATTTTTAGAAAAAGTTTTTAGTAAATAGAAATATTTTTATTAAAAAATATTTTATAGAAAAAATTACTTGTAAAAATATGTTATGTAGATTTATTAAAAACACAATTTATAAAAGAAATTTATTTTAAAATATATATTTTAAAACAAAAATAATTCGTAAAATGTATAATATTAAAACAAATTGAAAAAATATTAATGCGCAAATAATTAATATTAAATTTATTTTTATTAGTCTAAAATGTATAATTAGATTTTATATTTTTATATTTGTATTTATATTTTTATATTTTTATAATAGGTAGTTGTCTTAGTACAGTTGGAAGTATCAGTATCGGTGAACATCGTCGACGAATGGTAATTATAACTATTTTTATAAGTTCTATTTTGTATTATTATATATTTAATTAAATCTAATTATTTTAATTAGAAAAAGGATTTGGGGAGGGAGCCACGAATTAATGAGCCGTTCCAAAAAATCAGGGGAGTTTGTTGACGATCGTTGCAAATCAACCTTGGTAACTTGTTTATAGTTGAATTATTTTATTTCATAATTCTTGTATATAATTAAACTGTTTAAACTATATTTATTTTAATTTAATTTTTTCAATGTGTGTATAGGAGTTGTACCAGAACTTGCTTGCCCAATTTCTAACTGAAGATCCTCAATATATGCTGATTGGGAATGCACCGCTTAATCCACGAGTCGATCTTTATATTTGAAATTTAACAATAGGCGGGAAGGGAGTCAATGGGTATTTTTTTGGTCTTGGGTCTTTGGCTGGCGATTATAGAAAAGGGGACCAAACTTTATTTCAAAGACTCGATGATGGGGAAGGAGGATCTTGTCCGGCAGAATTGACACCAGAAATGTTGGCAACAGTGAGAGAGTTAGCTCTATCTGAGGCGAGACGAGAGGCGGCCGTAAAGGCCGAAATGGAGAATATGAGAAATAGGCAAAATGCTGAAATGGAGAAAATGAGGAAGCGGCAATCCGACATGGAGGCACAAATGCAACAATTTTTTGCCTCACAATCAAATTATTCTGTCCAAGATGATGAAGAAGACGGAGATGCTATATTTAGTAGTGACGATGAATAACTTTTTATTTATTATTATTTATATTTGTGACGTGAATATTACGTGACAATTTTTTTAATTATCTTTTATGTTTGTGACGTGAATATTATGTGACTAAATATTTATATCTTTTTTTAATCGTATATATTAAAAAAATTAAAAATTTAAATTGAAAATCATTTAAATTTTTTATTTTATTATTTATTAATTCGTTGTATTCATTAATATTTTTTTTTATTATTAAATTATACAGTAAAGTGAAAACAAAGTCACTAACTTAAAATAGATTTTCTTTTGTGACATGGGAATCATGTCACTAATTAGTGACATGGGAATCACGTGGGAATATTTTCAATTATTTTGATGGTTTGTGGCGTAAATCCCATGTCACAAATTAGTGACGTGATTTTCACGTGAGAAAATGTTCCCACCGTTGCTTTTTCGACGTGTTTTACCCATGTCGCAAATTTTGTTTAGTGACGTGTTTTTTGGCTTAGTGACGTAAATACCATGTGAGGAATTGCAATATTTTTTGTAGTGAAAATTGTGTTTGTGAGTAGTGAGTTAAGGCTAGAGTATATTTGTAAAACTCTGACATGTTATGAGTTTACTTAGTAAAGATTGTGTAATTATATGTTTATCTTACTGATAAATATTTGTGAATATTTATATAATTATATTAATTTGAGCTATAATTATATAACATGTTGAGTTGAGTAGTTCAGAGAGAAACTATAGTATTGACCTTACATTAGCAAAGTTATGGATTCAGAGAGGAACCGGATTTAGAGAAGAATCATTGTTGAGTATGTGCTTTAAATGTTATTTGTTGAGTATGTGTGTTGAATGTTATTTTTTGAGCTTTGTGAGTTAACAAGTAAAGTTGCTATGTTTTAAGAATTGTTTGATTTTGCTATGTTGAGATATGAGTAAATTGTTGCTGAGTGCTAGTATGATTATGTATTGGTGAGTTATAATTACATAGCGTGTTTATTATGTTGAGGTTACGACCTTATTGAAAATGTATGTGGTTTGAGGGAAAACCGGTGGTGATTAATGCATTTGTGTGTGTTGTTGCATTTCATTCATCATGGTATACAGATTTTGATTTGGTGGTGTGTCGTTGGTTTAGAAGGGAGGGACAAGTGACAAATCGCTGATTCAAAAGGGGGGCTCAATGACGTTAATGGTTCGAAGGAGGGTCATCAGTGAATGGACTAAATCAGTAACATACCTCTGATCTCTGATGTTTAAATTAGTACCAAATATTTAAGAATCAAACAGTTAATACACTACATTCATACTTGCAATCATTAAGACAATTTTAGTTATTTACACAAATTAGTGAATTTTGTGATTAAGTAAATAAGTATGTATAATCAATATAAATTTTTAAGTAAATTATATATTTATTATATACCACCGCCTACATATGTACCAAAATATATATATATATATATATATATATATATATATATATATATATATATATATATATATATATATATATATATATATATATATATATATATATATATATATATATATATATATATATATATATATATATATATATATATATATATATATATATATATATATATATATATATATATATATATATATATATATATATATATATATATATATATATATATATATATATAGAGAGAGAGAGAGAGAGAGAGAGAGAGGATGAGTCTTGTTGTAAATAGTACATTGAACTAATTTCGTAAAGAATATATTAATTTAATTTATTTATCTTGTTTAAAGAATAAACCGTATTTTTAAAAATATTTAAATATATTTTTGATCTGTTATGTTTTTTAATGTTTTGATTCTTTTATTTTGAAAATTGAAAATTCGACCTCTCCTTTTTAATAATAGTTTTGAGATTTTACTCTCTTATTCTATTTTGGAGATTTTGAATCCTCCATTTTAAAAACTGGAAATTCGGCCTCTCCTTTTTAATTGATGATGTGATAATGCTTAAGTGATTAAATTAAATTTTCAAGACAATTTTAATAATAATATAAAATAATAAATTTATAAGTAAAACAAAAATAAATAACATTAGAAAATATTATTCAAAAATATGATTTAAAATAAAAACATTTAAATCATCAAAAATATTATTTGTATGCATACATGTAAGATAAGATTAGAAACTAAGTAAACTATTATACATGAGGGATCCTAGTTTTAAGAAAATAAAAATATAGAGAGATCTCAATTGCATTTAAGCCTATTAAAATATGTTTGTATGAAAAATGAGATTAGGAAATAAGAAAACTATCATGTGCCATGGTTGATGCAGAATATTTTTAAGTGCTTACAAAAGACACAAATTAAAAAAAAAATCCAAAAAAATCTAAAATATACAAAACAATGTTGTTTTGAAATATAATATATTTTATTGCATTATGTATGCTTACTCTTCTAAGTAAACGATCAAAATACTCTAATGCATGTGTAAGGAATAAAAATCTTATAAAAAGATCTAAAATAAACATGCACTTAATTATCGTATAATAAAAGTATCACCTTGACAAAAATAAATATCCAATTAACTTATGCTACAAAATAAAAGAGACAAAAAATATATATATATATATATATATATATATATATATATATATATATATATATATATATATATATATATATATATATATATATATATATATATATATATATATATATATACATATATATATATATATATATACATATATATATATATATATATATATATATATATATATATATATATATATATATATATATATATATATATATATATATATATATATATATATATATATATATATATATATATATATATATATATATATAACATATTTGCACCAAAAATCATATTAGAACCAAATATTTTTATTAATACTGAATGTTTAAAAAAATTTTATCAAGTTGTTTAGTTGTTAATATTCACCCTTTAAAAATATACTAACGGAATGTGATGACTTCAAATCCACATTTATATTTAATATTCTTGTATAATTATCAATTGAGTTGGTTTAATAAAATTAGCCGCAAATATTTAAATTTGTATGTTAGGTTTAGTAACATCACTTTCAAATCTAAAGAATCTGCCTGTTTTTCCATAGCAAAAGTAAGAGTTACCTATGGCAGCACTTAACAATACTATTTCTATTGTGTCAAATCCTTGTATAGTTTACCTATAAATAGAACCTCTATGATGCCACTTCATCAATACAAATACAATTCAAAACCAAAACCACAGTTTTGAGTGTGATAACTGAATAATTAAACATAATGGATACAAATACATTCCTCACTTTTATTCTTCTTGTTTCCTTCTTTGTCTCTTTGGCTCCTTATTTATCAGAGGCTAGGCCATTGTTTAGGCCTTCACAAAGCAATGAAGGTGCCATTGGAGAGATGAATGGAGTTTTCAGGACTCTGAAAGGAGCTGGTCCATCTCCTGGTGTTGGACACAGGATAAAAAATCTTCAAACTATTCAAGGGATGAAGCATTCTGGTCCAAGTTCTGGTGGTGTTGGGCACAAGCTTCAGAGTTTTGAAGGCCATAAGGTTAACACAGTTCATGTTCTTGGTGTGACCAGTCACTCTGGTCCTAGTCCTGGTGAAGGACACAAGTATAAAACCAACAACAACAACAAACATTCTTAAAGTTTACATTGCTTTTGCTTTTATTTGCATAACATTAATTATATTGCTATTATCCTGAAAAATACTTAGTATTATAGTCCATTTGAAATTAAGTATACTGAAATAGTCCTTAAGTACTTGTTACCTATACTGCTACTATTATTACTAATACTATTGCTTCTTCAAATAAAACCTTAAAAACAATAAAATTATACCATTTATTTTTCTATTTATAGACTTTTAAACTAACTTAAACAATCTTAAGTTAAAGAATTGAGCTAATAAATTAATTCAATTTAATATATTTGAATGAATTTCGACTACAACTCTATTGAACCATAAAGATTAATTAGACATATAACTTAAAAAGAGTTTATATAAGTGTTGCACTTATTTTTTAAGTAGGTTCTTACACTCTAAGAATGTGTTAATGCCAAATTCTAATAAGTTTTTATCCTATTATAGTAGAAAACTCCAATATGGCCAAAAACGTACACATGATACAAAGAATGAATGGTTCCAACGCAACGTCTCTTTTTCACTTTTGTTAATTCGTTAAAAGAGTCAAGGAACCCGCACTTTATGGCCAGGAACTAAGAGCATCTCCAACCGTGAACTCATTTTTGGGTTCTTTGTGGGACCTATTAAGCCACGTCAGCTTGAAGCAACTCAATTAATTTTTCACTCCAATGGTGCAATTCTGAAGAACTCATATTGGGTCCCACAAGTTTACTTTATATGTTAATATTTTATTCATATTAAATTTTATATCACTTAAAATAATAATTTTAATTTTTTTACAGAAAATTATTTCAATCTACTATATAGTCCAACCGGTATATAGTGTTGTTTTAAGGAAAAATATTTCATTCTACTATATAAACTTAAAAAAAATTAGATTAAATTTTAAAAAATATTTCAATCTCTCCTTAGTTAATTTTAGTGTTTTAAATTAAATTTGATATAAAATAAAATTAAAATTAAAATTAAAAATTAAAATAAATAAAAATAAAATAAATAAAATTTAAATTAAACTTATAATTTAAATTTATAATTAAAATATAGTTTTCATATTATAAAATCAATATTTTAATATTGTAATTATAATTTTCATATGATAATTAAAATGATAAATAAAAATTTATATTAAATTATAATTTTTATATTATAAAATTAATATTTTAATATAAGAACAGTTGAAGAACCGTTGCTTAATTAAGCACCGTTCGACAACATGGCAATCTTAAAAACAAGAAATATGAGTGCCATGTTGGCAAACCCACTCTAAGAACTCCCATTGGAGTTGGTCTAACTACCAAATACCAACGATCCAACAATAAACCATTGATGGTTATGCTTTTATCTATCCATGACTTTTATGTTATAAAGTGTATAGTATTTTAACAATACAAGACAGAAAATATAAATTTAAAATCGAATGTTGATCAATTATTTTCAATCCGCTTAATGTGTGAGATTCAGGATGCAATCCAATACTTTGAAAAAACTCTTGATATCATCATGGAACAAGCTGAGACAAAAAAAAAAAAAAAAACCAAATCATGATTATAATCGCTTATATATTCTACATAAGTCTTTTATACTGCTCAGACCCTAGGTTCAAGACTGTTAAATATAATTCATTGTGATTTGATATGATTAGATTTGATATCATATGATTGATTTGATATGATATGATATCATATGATTAGATTTGATATCATATGATTAGATTTGATTTAAAATATTTTGGGTCTTTTATGTTTTGGGCTAGTGTAAACCTAAAACTATAAATAGGGTGCCTTGTTTTGTATTCTATATCACAACAGAACAGATTTCACAGTTGCAGTTAGCAAGTGAAAGTTCAATAAGAAATCTCACAGTTGTGGGTAACACATTCTCTCCAAATACTTCTTCTCTCATTCTTCTCTTTCTTGTTTGTTATTCTTCTTCTCTTTTGTTGTTCTTGATAATTACTTGTTATTACCATCATTATCATATTGTGGGTTTGTTCATCAATCTTGAGATCAAGATTGAAGGGAATTCTTCATAGGGTGTGAGGTGAATTTCCAACATCTGGTATCTAGAGTTCCGGTTGAGAGATTCAAGGAAGGAAGATAGTGATGGCGATGAATTATCCGAACGGCAACTTTCCGGCGACCCTGCCAATTCTCAAGAAAGACAATTATGAGAATTGGTGCAAGCAGATTAAGGTGATCTTCTGTTATCAAGATCTTTGGGATCTTGTGAAAGATGGAGTAACATCGCTTGGGGAGAACGCAACGGAGGCGGAAAAGGCAGCGCACAAAGAATTGAAGAAGAAGGATTATAAATCACTCTTTATAATTCATCAATGTGTTGATCCTGATAACTTTGAAAAGGTTAGTGATGTTGATTCAGCAAAAGAAGCATGGGAGATTCTTGAAAAGTCGTTTGGAGGCGCAGAGAAGGTGAAAGAGGTGAGGTTACAAACTCACAAGAGAACCTATGAGTTGCTTCAGATGGAAGACAACGAAAGCATTACAGATTTCTTCACCAGAGTTACAAAGTTGGTGAATCAAATCAAAGTATGTGGAGAAACGCTGACGACGAAAGCAGTTGTCTCAAAGATTTTGAGATCGTTGGCTCCAAAATTCGACCACGTGGTAGTTGCCATAGAAGAGTCGAAAGATCTGTCAGTGTTGACGAAGGAAGAGCTTCAAGGGACTCTTGAGTCTCATGAACAGAGGATGGTTGAGAGAGCTGCAGGAAAGTCGAAAGATATGGCTTTGCAGGCACAGACGGAAAAGGAGAGAAAAGGCAAAGGTAGCTGGAATGGCAACAAAGGAGGAAACCAGTCGAATCAAAAGAAACCTTGGAACCAAGGCAACCAAAGAGGTGGTGCTGCAGGTAAAGGAAGAGGTGGTGGTCGAAAGACAGACAAAAGCCACATTCAATGTTTCAATTGCCAGAAGTATGGTCATTATGTTAGTGATTGTCTAGAAAAGAAGAGAAATCAAGAGACTGATGCAAAGCTGGCGAAACATGAAGAAGAAGAAATGTTGCTAATGGTCACAACAAACGATGAAGAAAGATTCCAAGATCAGTGGTACTTGGACTCAGGATGCTCATCACACATGACTGGAAGGAAAGATTGGTTTGTCAACATGAAGCCCTCGTCGAAGAATACGGTGAAGTTTGCAAATGACAACACTCTAGCAGCTGAAGGTGTTGGTGATGTTCTGATTATGAGAAAAGATGGCAAAAGGTCAACAATTTCCAATGTGTTGTACATACCAGGCATGAAGAGTAATTTGCTCAGTATAGGGCAGCTTGTCGAAAAGAACTACAAGGTAGTTGTCGAAGACAGGATGATGAGAGTCCTCGACGCAGGTGGTAGACTAATCTTGAAGGCTCCAATGTCTCAGAATAGGACCTTCAAGATTGGACTCAATGTGATGGAGCACAAGTGCTTAGCAACTGCAGCCACTGAAGTCGAAATAGAAGTTCGACAGGAACCAGTTGCAGATGAAGCAGGTTCAAGCAGACCTCGACGAACAAGACACGTGCCTGCAAGGTTGCAAGAATGTGTAATTACATCAGATGATGTAGTCGATGAAGAGGGTGAGTTGGTACACTATGCTTTCTACGCAGATGTCGAACCAGTCAATGCAGCTGAGGCATTGAAATATTCGAAGTGGATGAAAGCAATGATTGAAGAGTTGGAGTCCATCGAAGTCAATGATACCTGGTCACTTGTCGAATTGCCGCAAGGCAAGAAGGCAATTGATGTAAAGTGGGTTTACAAGGTAAAGGTAAATCCTAAAGGAGAAGTAACTCGACACAAGGCGAGACTTGTGGCGAAAGCATTTCTTCAGAAGGAAGGAGTCGACTTCGATGAAGTATTCACACCTGTTGCTAGAATCGAAACAATCAGGTTGGTTGTTGGTCTAGCAAATATGAACAACTGGCACACATGTCAGATGGACGTGAAGTGTTCATTCCTTAATGACCCCTTAGACGAAGAAGTTTATGTTGCACAACCAGATGGGTTTGTGAAACAAGGCGAAGAAAGAAAGGTGTACAGGCTTCATAAAGCTCTGTATGGACTTAAGCAAGCTCCAAGAGCTTGGAATAAGAAAATAGACAGCATGTCAGCTAACAACTTGGCGAAGAATCCAATAGCTCATGGTCGAAGCAAGCATATCGAAATGAGGTTCCATTATCTCCGAGAGCGGGTAGCAGAAGGGAAGATGAAGTTGGAACACTGCAGAACTGAGAATCAGATTACAGATATCATGACGAAGGGAGTGCAGGTCGAAGCCTTCAGAAGACTAAGGGTCATGATGAATGTAGACAGTTTAGACACAATGAATTAGGTGGTGTGTTAAATATAATTCATTGTGATTTGATATGATTAGATTTGATATCATATGATTAGATTTGATATCATATGATTAATTTGATATGATATGATTAGATATCATATGATTAGATTTGATATCATATGATTAGATTTGATATCATATGATTAGATTTGATTTAGAATATTTTGGGCCTTTTATGTTTTGGGCTAGTGTAAACCTAAAACTATAAATAGGGTGCCTTGCTTTGTATTCTATATCACAACAGAACAGATTTCACAGTTGCAGTTAGCAAGTGAAAGTTCAATAAGAAATCCCACAGTTGTGGGTAACACATTCTCTCCAAATACTTCTTCTCTCATTCTTCTCTTTCTTGTTTGTTATTCTTCTTCTCTTTTGTTGTTCTTGATAATTACTTGTTATTACCATCATTATCATATTGTGGGTTTGTTCATCAATTTTGAGATCAAGATTGAAGGGAATTCTTCATAGGGTGTGAGGTGAATTTCCAACAAAGACTTCTTCCTTAAGTCCTACAGATTCAAAAACTTTGTTCCAAGTTCCATGAAACGAGACTCCCTGCTTAAACCCTTGGATTCATGACTTATTGCTCCAAAATTTATGAACCGAGACAACCTGCTCAAGTCACATTATCCCAAGACTTCCTTGCTTGAATCC